GAGAAGAACGGGTCCTTTCAAATCTTCCCCTTGTGTTTCTTTGTCTTATTTCAATCATTTAAATGTTGACATGTGTCCCACTTGTCTCTTTTAATCCTTGTTTATTCTGCTCTGCTTTGCTTATTTGCTGGCTTTACATGCAGACGCAGCTTTTCTTTTGACACCTCGTTTTTTATTGAGCACTTTAAATAATTTTGCTGTGTGAATATTGATTCTTTGACTGGGTGATTGATTGATTTAGAAATAATTGGCAACAATGGTTTAACGAAGGCACTCTAGCAATTTAATTGAATCACCAGCAAACCACCAACGGCTCAGCATCACACCCAAATGACTCAGACATGTCGATAAGTTTGGTTGTTTGCATGACATTAAAATGATTGAATCGTATATTCAAGGTGCTTCTTTGTGCTCAGCCTTATGAAATGCAGATTGCCTCCTGCTGAACTGCACAATATCTGTCTGGAAACATTGCTCTGTACGGCCGAAGCGAGTTTGCTCTAGAGATTTGATTATTCCTCAGCACTGTGTAAGGCCTTGTGTGGCTTTACTACCACCGTGGCTATCAATCCTAATAAAGCAGAGAAAGGAAATCTAACTACTGGGTGTACAAACTTCTAAGTCTTCCAGGCTTGTCAGGAGTGGAACACAGGAAGAAGCGATAAACTCTCAGCTCCTGCAGTCAGCTCGCATTAAAGAGCGAGTCCGAGCCCGAGTCAGAGCGCCGATGCACAAACCAGACCTGACAGAGCGACTTAGAGGAGAGCTGCAGAGGCACGCCGAGTACAGTCTACCTCAGCAGCTTTGTGTTTGTTCCGCACATGCCTGCAAAAATACACAGAGGCAGCAGCAGACTATACAGCCGGCCTTCCTGCACACGTGTGTTTAAACAGAAATAAACCTGCCGTTAAGCTCAAAGTGAAGCGGACGGGGTTTGAAGGCATTTCAGGGATAATTCTGGTTCATTTCAACCAGCGATGTTTTCCATTGGCTCTCTCTGAGAAGACTTGTTGGATAACAAAGTTTTTTGTTTTACAGCTGTAGTCGTCTTTTTAGAATACGTGTCTGTGCTTATCATTTGAGTCTCTTTTGAATCATTCATAAACATAGCATCCTGGGGAGTATCTATCTAACTATCCAGCCAGTTTAAAATCACTCGTTTTTGGACTGTCGAAGGAAAACAGAGGCCCTGGAGTGACTCCACACAAACTCCAAATAAAGGCAGCATACCGTGCACATATTATACATAATCATAAAAATCACCAGCAGCACTCATAATTAGTGGCCTGGTGTTGAGCGATGCCAAAATATGCTTTCCAAAACCTGTATTGATTTTTGTATTTGCACATTGGTGCATCATCCAGCGATCAGAAGAGGAACTGCCCCTTTAAATAAACTCTGTCATCAGGGGGGGAAAAACACTTATGTAACCAGTGTTTTTATTAACTATGACCCAGTCTTTCTCCATCTTTGAGCTGCCTAATCATAGCCACACAGACTGAGTGCCTTCAGTACGACAGTTCCTTAAGTTACCTTGATTTTCTCTGAAGGTCTACCAGATTATTTTCATGCAAACCCACACTTACTTAGGACTCAAACATATCCTTAAACCAATGGAACACACTTGACCACCCGTAGTGAAAGTATACACACTCCCACAGAATCCAAAGAAGATAACCACACACACAAACAAACACATCTTTTTGCCTTCGTCTCTGCTGCAGTTTTTCTCCTAAACATCATTTTAAGCCACCAAAATCTCATCAGCTCCAACCAGTCTCAATCTGGGAACCATGAAATAAGTTTGGCCTCGCAGTGAAGAAAGTCACATGGAAACATTCCCAAGAGTTTTTCAATATTACAACGGCAGATGCCAGATTCATGTACATGCTCTGCATTAATAAAGAACCTCATTCAGGTGCATCTCAAGTATGCATTAGACTTATGGAGCTCGAGCTTTCATGCAGCACGAATACAATAAGTGTTTTCTTGCAAAGCAAAGTAGCAATGCAACAGTTTTTAACAAAATAACGCAAAACAAGAAAACAAGAAGAAAATGTAAAGAAAATGTAAAAATAATACAGTTTAAAAAAAACAGAGCCCTCTGATAGTGCTTCTCTTCCTTTTCTGAACCAGCCAGCTATAAAATAAATGTGAGTAAATGATGGATATTTCTGCACATACCTGCTAATGTTAATATGTACCTGTTGTTTTGCAGCTCCTCTGCTGCAGATCTTTTCACTCGTCCCAACAGAAGTGAGTGACAGGCATGCAAGAAGTGCAGAAAGTACCAGAAGGAGAGAACGCAAGCATAAAACACACCCCTCCTACACACAAGCATGCATGCACATGCATATAAACACAAAAAAAACCCACTTCACGTTCTGAAACTCTCTCACACACACTCAGCATCAAACCTTTCCTCCGTCATTATGGAGGCCCGGTGGTGAGCACACTGTGGTTTGGGTTTGAGGCGACACTCCAGGTTTCATCTGTTTTAGCCACTGTTTGGTGAGTATATTTCCTTCTCCTGAATCCTTCAGATATGAGATCATCTGTGGATTTTACCAGCCTGTGCTTGTGCTTTGCTGAAGGATAAGAAGGAAAGAGAAAAACAGGGAGACTTTAAGAGAGACATTAAGTTATAAACGTGTAGAAGAACAGCTATACAAAGCACAGGCCCAGGAGCACAAAGGAACAGAGATCCCTGGTCAGTGATCATTGTCAGTATTTCTTGCTGATAAGTAAATCAAACAATCACAAAGAGACACAAAACACCAACAGATAGACAGAAAATTTAAAAGAGAAGCAAAATTTTTTAAAAAAAGTTATAAAACAAAAGTTACAAAACCAAGTTAAACAAAGAACAAAGACACTCAAAATTCTTTAAAAGAGATTTAAATAAATTCATAAAGAGAAGAAAGTAAATAAAGAAAAACACACACAAAAAAACACATGCAAAACCAATGCAAGAGGGAAGACAATGACGGCAAATTCACACACGCAGGCTCAAAACTACTAACGATTTGTAAAACTGCCAAAAGGCGACGCAATATATGAGACAAGCTAAAACAAAACCAGTACAACTAGAAACTAGAAGGACTCCTAATATAAGACATTCTTTATCAAACCAAAGGGGGGGGAAGCTGCAAATGAATTTAAACACTATAAAAATGCCACAGAAAGAAAGAAAGAAACTTAAAGACAGTAGGAAAGTTTTATATTTTCTACGGGACGGTGATTGTCTTTGTCCAACAAGTAAATAAAGGTTCTAGAAAAAAAATACGTTCAAACTGTAAGGTGATTGGCTGTTACATACGCCAGGCAAACGTCCCTTTCCGCTCTCCTCCGTTGCTAAGTAACAGCTCCTATGCTCTCCGTGCTTCGCCAAGCAGAAGCTAGCTAAATGCTACGACCCAGATTATGGGAAAACCCGAAGCCACAAGTAGTGTCTGTTTGATGAGAGTGCAGATTTGAAGCAATGACTGCTATAAAAGACGGAGAGTACACGGCTACGATCTACAAACTGGTGAGAATACGCCAATTAGTTAGGATTCTTAGCTTGTTGAGCTAGCAGCTACACAGCGTGAACCAAACTCCATTCACAAATCGTTTATTTTAGTGTTTCATTCTTAATGAAGTACTTATCCAAGACGAATTATATTTTTCTGGAATTGAGATGCACTTTCCGTAAATTCGGCTTAAGTTTAAACTTATAATAAACATAGAGAAAATGTAAACTGCAGTGTTTGTAGGTTTGTACCGGTGGTTAATCTTTGAAGTTCTTATCGCTCCAGTCCTTGTAGTTTACTACAAGTGATTGGATAAAGAGAGCGAGTGTTAATCAGTCTACATACTGAAGCTTTTCCCAATAAATATGTGTCTGCGTTGTAGATTAAAGATGGTCAGTATGTGGATGCCATTCACATCCTGAACGGCCAGCTCCAAAAACACACCAAGGTAAGTCTGCCAATCTTCAAGGGGGGAAAGGAGATATGCAACCCGCGATATAAGACTTAAAGAAACAGTAATCCTCTCTCTCTTCCTGTCTCTTCTCAACAGTGCACACAGAGAGCTCTGAAACATTACAACTTGATTTTCTTGTTTGTTTGTTACATGGGCTTTTTTTGGTGTGGAAAGCTATTACATACATGTTTGTCCAAATACAGCAGTTAATGGGGCTCATTTTCAAGACTTCATCATTGGATCCATAAGATTAATTTTATTATAGTGTCTTGTCATTGATCTGAATTGCTTCACTGTTACTGTGATGAAACTATATTACTTTGGGTAGTAAATTATTCGCTCCCTCATCTGAGTCACTCATTTTTTCCCTTCTAATTTGCTCTGCTCTCAGTACGTTACTTTCATTATGACTGAAATAAACTGGCTACATCTTTCTTTTTAAATTAGCACATTGTAAGTGCATTTTTGCATATTGCACCTCAGTAAATCTGGCGCACTTTCAGTTGTAGGGATTATTGCACTGCTGAAAGACATTGTTTTCAGCTTTGTTCTTTCTTAATTTTTATTTATTGAGATCTTAAAAAGGAAACGGTTTTTAAAATACAGAAAAGAACATCTTAAAATGCAGCAGGAACCCTGGTGGGCTGAAGATGTCTGCATTTTGTTCTCAGACATCCTCAGGTGAGCTGTGTGTTTTTCTCTACAGATGTGCCTCAGCTGGTCACTTTCTCTTCCTTTCACCTGTGTCTCAGTCCAGGGCGGCGCTGTCTCTGCTTGGTTTCTGCTACTATCACATCCAGGACTTCACCAACGCCGCTGAGTGCTACGAGCAGCTCACGCAGCTGCACCCGGAGGTGGAGGAGTACAAAGTGTACTACGCCCAGTCCCTGTTCAAAGCTGGTGCTTATCCCGAGGCCACCAAGGCTTCATTTGCACTCGACAACCCCAGCAGCCAAACCAAGGTACAACACACACACACACTGAGCCCAGCTGTGTGTCAATGTGTTTGTCATTTAAATAAATAAACGAAGAGCTGGAAGTGTTGTGGTCCAGGTGTTTCATCATTGCATCAAATTTGTCAGTTTATGAACAATTCCACTTTATTTGTACAGAATTTTTTTAACACCATCTGTTAAACGATCTCCATCACGAGGAGCATTTGTTCACCAGACGTGTTCTAGCGAATGCATATGGCCCATAAATGCACAATAAATGAACAAAGGCAAACAAAAATGTTTGTAATTCAGCAACAAGGGCCACACTTTTTATCAAAGTTACAACAAGGCAGCCTGTGCATCAGGGTCGCCCCTCTGAACCCCCAAACCAGAAAAAGTGTCTGGTTTTACAAAAAAATCACAAAAATAACACCATCCATCAAAACCAGAAGGTGTAAAAACAGATGCAACAAGAAGCACTCAGAGCACACAAACCTGCGTCAAGGCAGCTCACTCTCTGGGTGATATTTACTCTGAAGATACATTTTGTATTCTTTGTTCTTTTAAATCTACTTTCAGAACTTAAAGACTTTAGGAAGTTTGTAGTGCAGTAAAGACTAGATACAGGTATCATGAAAGATGTTTACTTTGATTACACAAAAGGACTCGGCAATGAATTATAGGTACAGATTTGTAAGTACCTGAAATTAATTACTTGATCTTATTGTGTAATATTACTACAGTAATATAACTCTGTGTTCCTAACAGCTCATTCTCTTTCTCCTGACAATACTTTATTTAAAGATATATCGCATTTGGGGTCAATTTGAAAGAAACGCAGATGTGAAATGTAAAAGTGAGGTCAGAGTAGCTGTGACATGATATTTGGATGCAAACTCTAATGTGATATTTAAAATCCCCGTACACCAGAATCCCTTCCTAACTGTTACCAATACAAACAAAGGAAGTAGAATTTTAAGCATAATTCTGCACATAAAAGAGATTTGACAAGTTTGACCATGAAAATGAGGTCAGAGGTCCAAAGTAACGTGATATTTAGAATCCTCACAAATGTCTTGCTGTTGTCAGTATGAACAATGGCAATGAGAAACATGGAAGCACTTTGACTTTCGGATCAAACTTTTGACCTTGAAGAAAAGGTCAGAGGTCAGATGTGATATTATGTTTATAATGATATTAGACCAATAAATCATGAAGTTGACCTTGACAACCTCAGTGGGTGTAAGCCAAATTTTAATGGATTGTTAACATGACTCCACTTTACACCCCTACAAAGTTTTATTAGAATTTATTCAAAAGCTTCAAAAAAAAAAAGCTTAAAAAAAAAAAGAATTTATTCAAAAGCTGTCGTGTTTACAGACGCATGCAAATGCTACCAAAAACATTACCTCCTTGGTTATTCCGTCATCGATTTTTAGCTTTCCAAAGGTCTAATTCAGGGAAAATTGAGTATATTGACATCTAATTAAATCAAATTCAAAGTTTGGTCTAAAGAGATAGTTAGCATGCTCCCTCCATCTTTCTCCAGGAGATATTTGAAGCGTCAGTGATAAAGCAGGTTCTGAAAATCACCAAAGATATAAATCACAAGAGTCGACGCCCTGATTGTACCTTCAGTGGCTCTAATACGCTGTTGAAAAGGTGCAGGGTAAAAACTTGTAAGTTAATCAGTGCAAATTTTCTTTAGCACCATTATAAATCATTGAATGATAATAAGTCAAGCTACGAGTGTGTGTTTGTGTGTATGAATTTAAAACAGCATCATAAACGCCATTTTATGTGGCGCGTCTCTCTGACTTGTCCAAGACAAACTTCTGCCAAGGCAGAGAATGAAGGCTAATCTATAATCTATGCCTAATAATGTGGCATTTTATGAAAATTAATTTAGTCAGCGTGTCACTTTTAAAGCAAAAATACATTGTTTTCGCTAAACAGTCCCGAGAAGCTAAGACTGAGTCGGCTAGGAGCCGTAGTCACGTAACGACAATTTAGCCATTTGTTGGGGCTGAATCTATTTTTTTATTCCCACACATACTCCCAAATATATTTTACAGACACAGAAGTTTCAAGTTTAAATTTGTAAATTTGTAAGAAAAAATCTCCTGATCTCCTATTTATAAAAAACTAAAACCTACAAGAAAAAAATGGAAACATTTATGATGAAAGCTGGTGACAAATTTTCATACATTTAACTGTAACTGGGTTCGAGTTCTCTTATAAATTTACAAATTTACAACAAAACCTTTTGCCGTCCTGTTATGTGAATTATTTTTATTCTGATGACCCACTCTATCCTCCCTTCCTTTGCCCGTGGATGGTTTGTGACATACCTTCAGTGGAGCTAATGCGCACCAGAATAAAAGTATCATCTAGAAGCTTTCTGGGGTTCAGAGGGTTAAGCTTGTTTTGTCTTTGTGATAATATCAAGAAGAAAAGTTCAGAGGTTTTGGAGAAAAGGTCCAAATGTGGGAAAAGAAGCTCATAAAAATGGTTATGGATGACAGTTTGCATTACAGATTACACTTTGTACTGGCTCTTTTTTTTTTGGCCCCATATGAAAATTAGCACTTGGCTGCTGTTGCCGTGTCCCTGTTTTACCTTCGGTTTATTGTCTCTCTCTGGCACAGATGGTCAAGCTGCAGGCCTGCATTAAATATTGTGAGGAAGATTATTCCGCTGCCAAGGTGAGGAGCTTTAACACGTCATCTGTTAACACACGATACCATTTCTGCTCAGTATAGCATCAGATTAATCCTTATTATGCACAGCCAGACACGCCTTCATTAGCGTCACTTTCTGCTGTGTTTTTGTAGTCGCTGTTGGAGCAGCTGCCGCCGGACGACCCGGACTACGTCTATAATATGGGCTGTTTGCTTTACCAGGACGGCAAGTATGAGGAGGCCTGCAGGAAGTTCATGTCTGCCATGCAAGTGCTGGGATACGTGCCAGGTGATCAGTTAAAAACACACATTCAGTAAGCTGTTCTCTATGCACTGACCTGAAATCAAAAGACAATTTATTTACTGTCACTGGAGTGTTTCTGGAAACCCAAAAATATTCACCTGTCTGTCTGTCCGCTGGAAGGACGGTCCAGTAACATATCTTCATCTGCTCCATCTCTATAAAAAAGCAATGTTGACCCAAACAGCTCCTCCTGCAGAAATAATCTTGTCCTTCATTTCTTATAGTTGGTGGCGTTGGGAGAATCCACAGTCTGTGGGAGAATCCACAGTCTGTGGGAGAATATCAGCTGTCTCTGGGGTTTTTGTAATCAACTCCGCACTACTTTTTACAGTGGAAGGGGTTTATTTTTCAGGTTAACCGAAAATATTTGCAGACGAGATGAGTTTCTATTTCTGTTAAACAAAAAGAACCAGAACAAAAACTGGACATGACTTGAATTCATCATAAATTTAAATAAAATTGATAAAATGATTGTACACGACAAGTACACCTCTGGGTTTTTGTGTCATTTTTGTCTCTTATTTTCAGCGTTGTCCTACAACATCGCCCTGACTTATTACAGCCTGAAGAACCACAATCAGGCCCTCAAGTATATCGGAGAGATCATAGACCGTGGAATCAAGGAACATCCAGGTAAAAATAGCTGTGATTTTCTCCTCTTTTAGATATTTATTATTTTTAGATCATGTTTTTGATCAGCATGAGGGTTGTTTTTTTCTGCGTACCAGAGCTGAGTGTCGGGATGACGACCGAAGGCATCGACATCCACAGCGTGGGAAACACGCTGGTCCTGCATCAGTCGGCCCTGATCGAAGCTTTTAACCTCAAAGCTGCAATCAATTACGAGCTGAAGAACTGTAAGAACCTCCATCTGTTTCCAACACGTCACTTAGAGAGGTAGTGAGGTGGCAGACGAGCCCGTGTAAAAAAAAATATTGATAACAACTGTGGCTGTAGAGTGAACCACAGTCAGTATTCAGACACCAACCACACAAGAGCTGAGGAACATCACAAACCTATCCATGCTGTGGCCAATCATAGCTATCTAAATCCTCTGTGAAGACACATGGGTGTGCTGAGAGCTGGTCTTTAGTTTGTGACTAACCTGACGTTCGCGGCAGTTTCTCACTGTTTACATTATAAAGGATGGATGTGGGTCCTGGGTCTGATAAGAAAAGCCATCGTAAAAGCTCCTTAAACCTTCCCCCCAACCACAGTAAACACTTTCCTGGTGGATTAATCGCTGGTTTTAGGTCACAGTGAGGAGAACAACAAGCCGACGTTAGCTAGCTATCACAAAGTTTTGCTCAGTCACATAGATATCAGTCCGCAGGCGGTTAAAGTTAATAATAACTGTAGTAAATAATGAATAAATGATTAAAGTCTTGAACCATCCCTCATTACTTTATATTTTGATTCAAATGAGCCAGACTTGTATTTTTTAAGTCCTCTTGAACAATAGTTCTCCAGCTTTCTGAAGGTCTTTCAAACTTTTTATTTGGACAAGAAACAAGAACTGCAGCAAAGATAAGTGTCTGATTGCCAATAGTTTGATTTACTGCCAATGCAGTAAAAGCATAAATGGATAGAAACCATCAGTCATGGATTGGCCTCCCCAGAGCCCGAAACTCAACATTATTGATGCAGAGAATGAAACAAAGACGAGCTTTGAATGTCCTTCAAAAGCCCCGGAGAACCCTTCCTGAACACCAAGAGAAGAAAGAAACTACAGAAGGTTTCCTAAGAGAGTTCAGACTTTCAAGCTCTTCAGAGGTGTACAAACTCTGTTTTTGCCGTAAACACTCGATTTCTGTGTTTGTCTGCATGTCTTTCAATAAATCGTTGCATCTACTTCCCATTGTATTTGCAACATATAAAAAAATGAGGGGTGGCTCAAAACCTTTGCACATTACTGTAACTTAGTTTACATTTGGATAAAAAGAACGTTCTTACATGAAAACTTTCCCTAAAGCTGGAGTTTGTAGAGCGTTGGTGTTTTACGGGAGCTGGATGCCTCGACGATGTTCAGAGTCACTGCTTCCAGCAGCCATTTGTGGTGAGCAACAAAAATACAAAAAATTTTTGATATTTACCCTGTAGCCTAAAAATATTTTTGCATAGGCCGCAATTATCAAGAAGAGGCCTGTAAAACTGTTTACGCTCGTTGTGGTTTCACATGTGTAAAACCTCACCAGTGCAGAAAAAACAGCGTCTGCGACAAGAAAGAAATCCAGAAGTTTCCACTGAGGTGAGTCTGGTGGCCAGGGCTCCTTAATGTTTTAGACCTTAAGAAATTTTGTGAAAGACGCAACATGCCATGGTCATTTATTCATCAAAAAATACTCTGCAAAGCAATGAATAAATGACTATGGACACAACAACTGCACACCAGATTCTCCTATTCAGAGCATCTGTAATAACATTAACAAAGTGCAGTTTCAGTCTGTCTGTTAAGCATCAGGTACTACTTTAAGCAAGCTAAAGCAAAACGTATGCATGTGATTAAACACACTGAAAAAGCCTTTGAAGGAGCTTGTACACTTTTACATTCAATGCAAAAAGTGAGTGTTTAACTTTGTTTGCCAAAAAGGTTGGAACCGAGGGACTCGAACCTTGAACCTGTCAGTGTTGATGACCTGGGTCTTTTTCAGTCCTTTGAATTTTTAGCTGATGTATGTGTTGGGACTGTGTTTTCTTACTTGACTGCAGGCTCAGTGCTTGTGTCCTAAACCAGGTCACAGCCGTAAACTTTTCCCTGTTCATAACAGAAACCGACAGAAAGAGATGAAAATCGGCTGCAAGAGAACTTGCAAAGCTTCCTTTAATCTTCAAAAGCAGGGTTGTCGTCCTTTCTTTCTCCACCCTCTGACACATTATCAGACCAAAGCTTTAAAGAACAGTGATCAGAGGACGACATGCAGGAAGGAAGCCCACATCAAACGGCCGGCTCTGTCAGACGGACGGAGAGTCGCGTCACCTGCTGCATGAAACGGATGGAAAGATGTGCTGAACCCAGCCTGCAGGGATGAGCTCAGAAACGTTTTTAGGGGACATCTTGAGCACGTTTTGGCTATATTGGACATTTCTTATTAACCTCATCAACACCACTGGTGGTGATTTGATCTCAGGCTTCTGCTGTCTGTGTGTTGAAGTGTGTTTCAGGAAGATATGAACCCCAAATAAGAGCCACCAGGTCACCGGAAAACCACTGTGAGAGAGGGTTAGGGTTAATCTAAACACTCCTAGTTTCAGAAACTAGACGTTACTTGTCAGCCTTACAGGTTTTTGTTAAAAGATTTCCAGCTGGGAGTGCCAAACAGGAGAAAATCCTTTTAAAGGGGTAGGTAGAACCTAACAATAAGCCCAGAGGACCAGTGGGATACTTTTAGTCCAATAAGAAGTGATCAGAACTTTGTTTTCCAGAAAAACTTTTTGTAGAAAAACTGTAAATGCTTTGTGGCATGTGTTACAGTTTTGATTTTATTAGATATTGAGCGTTAAATGACAGGTAGGTAGGGAGAGAGAGTGAGGATGAAAATCAGCTTTGCTCATGTTTGAGGAATTGACTCAGTACATCTGAAAACAGTTCCACGGGGCGCCTGCAGATGATGATTATCGGTTTTCCTTATGAGGTTTTCAAGACTCTGCGCTGTTTAAGTTTCCCAGGTTCATAAAGTTCATCTCTCAAAGAGAAATTTCTCAGAAAAAACCTCTATGTGCACTGAAACGACCTGTTTTCTTCTCTGTTGTGTTCCATGTGGATTCCTGCAGTGAAAACAGCTCAGGAGGCTCTGACAGACATGCCCCCGAGATCAGATGAGGTAAGGACCTGAAACTGTTTGCACAATCACGTTTGGAGGCCCCCATGAACACAAATTCATTACTGTTAGGGTGAAGACTTCAATCGAAAGGAAGGAAACGAATGACTCTGTTGTTATTCAGTAGTTGTCTGAATTAAGGCTGCCTGGGTTCGCTGAGCCTGACAGCCTGTAGATAACAGAGATTAATTCAAGATTAGAATGGAGACGTAGGTGTGAAGGCTTACATGGAGGTAATGATGGTATTTTTATCATCCTAAGATGACTTCATTAAAATTAATGTACAGATGGGACACTGTCCTTGGTCCAGCCTGTCACTGCCTCTGAGTCATGGCTTATGAACAACTAGTGCCCCCTAGTGGAAATCCATGCAAAGTGCACTGAGTCAGAAATACTAGGAAGTGAAGTTTTACCTACATTTTTTACAGGCTGAAATTAATGGGACCACAGCAGCAACACTCAAATGAAATGGATCCAGAGTGTAAAAAATACACTCTTATTCTAGTCATTTATATGATTTAAAGTGTTTGTTTTTTGTGAATTAAATAATCGGTAGAACAACACCATCGTTTTACTGTTTATCACTATAGACAACCACTCATTGGGTGGGGGGGGGGCTTTTTTCTCTAACCTGTGCCTCCTTGTCTCTTCTGTCCTCCTGACTGTGACCTGCAGCTCAGTCTCAGTGTGCCAGTTTAAAGGATGTCTCTGTTCCTAATATGACAAAGGGAGGATCAGGGTGCTCACCCTCCTTCGTCCCTCCCACGTGAGACGTGATCAGAGGAGGTGAGGAGGAGATACGAGGAGAGAGGAGACGAGACAAACACCGTCTAACAGAATGAGCCATCCTCGACTCTGAGCATCATTTTAAATGATGTCAATTAAATATGATGTTTGACATCATCATAAACTGTTCTGTTGTAGCCACAGCAGTTTTTCATGATCTCAGGTGTAACGGTGCTCGTGACATTTTTATAGTCTCGGACACTTTTAATTAAATTCACCACGAGGAGCAAAGTGACCGTTTCCAGACCTGGTGTTTTTGCTCATACACAGAAACAGTGAAGGAGAAAAAGCTTCTTCATCTTTAGAAACTGAAACAAGAATTTAAACAGGCTGTTCAAAGAGTCCTTCTCCCTCCAGCTGTGCCTCTTTTATACACTAACAATAAAAAAACACCAAAATGAGCAACTGAAAACTCACAAACGATGAAAGTTTGTATTTCTGTTGAAGTCTGTACAACTAGTTTCATGTGGTTCATTATAAAAGCAATCAGCCCCGCTTCAATTCGAAAAAGTGCAGTTATTCTTGTACACTCAGTGCAGTATTATGTACTTCATCTCCTATATTATGTGTATTTTTACAGGAACTGGACCCAGTGACACTCCACAACCAGGCTCTGTTGAACATGGACACGAAGCCGTCGGAGGGCTTCGAGAAGCTGGCCTTCCTCCTGCAGCAGCCCTCCTTCCCCCCCGTCACCTTTGGAAACCTGCTGCTGCTCTACTGCAAACACGAGGTAAGCAGCAGTATTTTATCTGAAGGAGACCAACTACAGCAGCAAAGACTCCCACTGACCTGACATCAGGTCAAAGATGCTTTTCTTGATTTTCTGTCATGTATCTCATGTTCCAGCGGTGGATGTTCATATTAAACATAAGCAAAGTGTCTGATAAAGTCAGTGTAGCGTATGTACAAGTACTCCCTGTGGGCCAGAAGCTCAGGCTGCTTCAAACACTCTACTCTTGGCCCTGCGTGACGCCTGTGACAGTATATTTCCTTACTGTGATCATCACATGCAGCTGCTTTTATAACCCGGTGTTTCTGAGGGTCAGTCAGCAGGTTGTCTTAAACGGCACTAAAAACAGCTTGTGTTTCAGACAGATGATGAGCTAAGAGGCTCAGTAAAAAGTACATTTGAATAAAAGCAAAAATATGTGCATAGAAATTAGAACAATGGGATCCTGGTAATTGTTCCTGTTGCTGTAGCAAACCTGCTGAAGACTTTTATTCTGCTATAGAAACACATATGCAGACGACACAGTCATTGTAAGCCTCCTTCATGGTGAAGAGGACTCCCATGGGCCTGTTGTGGATGAGTTTGTTTCGTGGTGTGATCAGTCCTTCTTAATGATCAACACCTTGAAAACCAGGACATGGTTATTGACTTCAGGAAGACATCCCCCCATCCTGCACTAACAGTGGTAAATGGTGCAGCCATTGAACTGGTTGTTCTTGATAAGGCTCTGTCCTTTGAGTCACATGTTGCTGCTAGAGTGAAAAAGGTTCAACAAAGACTTTTTAAGGAGGTTGAGAGGTTTCAATGTTTCATCTGAAATGATTTTTTATAAAAGTTTTATTGAATCTGTTTTAACTTTCTGTATCATCGCTTGGTACGGTAATATGTCCCTGAATAATAAGACCAGACTTAACAGATCATCCTCTCTTTAATGATTTTCAACTGCTTCCATCAGGTCGTCGTTATAAAGTGCCTGCAGTGAAGACAGAGACATAGATTGTCTTTTGTACCTGCTGCTATTATCATAGTTAATAACACTAAACCATAAGTGTTGTTGCCATTGCACATTGCACTTTTTTGATGAAAAATCTAGGTTGTTTTCTCAGGCTTATATTATATTATATTATATTATATTATATTATATTATTTTGGAGTGTGCATGTGATGTGTTGGTTGTCTATTTGTTTGTACGGACATACTGCAAATCAATTTCCCGTTAGGGACAATAAAGTTACCAATAACATCAATATGAAACGTGCTGTATTCAGCGCTATTTGGACTTTCAGACAGGCTCTTGCTGTGATCCAGCAAACAGTGTGGGAAATAATTTGTCCCACTCCACCGTGGCTTTAAAGGCTCGTAACAGCTCAGATTAGTTCAGGTAATTAGGTAACTGAAACAAGCAGTTTTAGCTTACAAAGGTTCAGAAAAAAACATTTTAAAAAACATCCACGTGGCCAAACAACGCAGGAATCTCAGAAACATAAAGGAGCACGAGGAGGGAAACCAGGTGGAATAACCAAAAACTGAGAAGAAGAAGACACAGCTGAAATTTATCAGGGTGTGGCAGAAAATTACAGAGGCGACAGGAAGTAGCTGCTGCAGATTACCAAAATAAGACAGAAGAAAAAACAAAGATAAAGAAAAGTAGACACTGAACCATAAAAGACACAAAAATAAATCTCACAAGAAATTAATCAAGAAAACATCTTTCACAAAAGCATCTGCCACCGTGCCAGTTTAAATAAGACAGATACAGAATTTCTGACTTTAAGCATCAATATTCAGATCTACTGCTCCAAAAACACAAAGTTTTACAATTAATTTCTATGTTTTTTCTTTACTTTTCCTCAGTAAATTAAAATTTTCCATTCAGTTAGTTTTAATTGGCAGCCCTATAAACTCTGAACAGCTCCTCTCCCTGACAGCGCTCACGCTGACCTCATTATTCAGAGATTTATCGCCGTTCTCCATAAACACCACGACGCCTCTCTGTGGCATGTCAGCAGTTTCCACCAGTGAGCATCCATGCAGGGAGTAACACTGTTTGCAAAGGGATTTGGACTCATGTGGTGTGAGTTCCAGTGGAAAGAGCTGAAAACAAAGAGCTGCAAGTCTTTCATTAAGATGGCATTAACTTCTCTGCTGGACTTCTCACAGTACTTTGACCTGGCAGCTGATGTCCTGGCAGAAAACGCACATCTCACCTACAAGTTCCTCTCCCCGGTGAGTAACGAGCATCCTCAAGAGACCAGCCAGTTGATTTTATTCTAATTAGCACATCTGGTGTAGTGTCGTCTGCACAAATATGACTAGTAATAACAAAAACAGTCATCTGTTTCTTTTTCTTTTTCAGTACATGTACGAGTTTCTTGATGCTTTGTTGACCTGCCAGACGGCACCAGAGGAGGTACGGTACAAAACACCTGACACCTTATTAACAACAGGAAGCTATTTTTAATGATCTGTATAAAATGAAGTGAAGTGGTTGAAATGAGAATTAGTACCTTTACACCTGAGCTGGAAAACAAAGAGAGTGCAGACTCCAGGACGGGGAAGGAGTTTCAGTTATGTGAGGGTGTTCACAAGTGAGACGAGACTGACAGATGGACCAATGAGGACGTTGTAGCGGTCCGTTGTGGTAAAGAGGAACTCTTTATGGCTCAGTCTACGTTTCCTCACCACAAGCTCTGCGTTTTGACTGAAAGCAGCATTGAAGACACATCCGCTTCCTCTGAGGGGTTTCTCGACTCAGCCATAGATTGGATGAGGATCTCAGTCATTCAGTTGAGCTGCTGCTCCACATCGAAAGGAGTCAGTCAAGGTGATTCAGGCCTCTGAATAGGATGACTCCTGGACCCTCTCTAGGTGCTTCAGGAATATCTAACTGGGAGGAGACCCCAGAGCAGAACCAGGACACGCTAGAGAGGTTTTGTAATTTGGCTTGCTTAGGAACACTTAACCAGCCTCCTAGAAGAACTGGAGGAGATGGCTGGGAGGGGGGGTCTTAACACCTATGCTTAGACTGCTGCTGCCACAATCCAGACCTGGACAATCGGCAGAGAGTGTATAGAAGGATGAAATTACAAAATAATACTCGTTATTGGAGTGCTAGAAACATGAACCATAGTACGTTAACCTGCTGAGCTAATGATGGTTTGATGGTTCAGCATCAGATTTGTTTTTGTGTCTTTTGTATCCGTCATGTTTCATTACCTGCGTTCTTTTTTCAGGCTTTCAGGAAGTTTGAAGAGATGAACGGAAAACTGGCGGAACAGCTACGCAAGCTATCAAAGCAGGTTGTTTACCTCACGCTGCTCTTTCTGTCTTACTGCACACAGCATTTTCAAACTGCCTGTATTTTATTTCGTGGGGTTTTATATCAGACATGCTTTTGTTATAGGAGTGGCGTTGTGGGTTAACTCAGAACTATAAAACGTGGTTTGGAGGCTGGTTGCAAAGGGGCTTGCAGTTGAACTTGCCGATTTCTTGCAGGACAGGATTGAATACAAATAAAATGTCTGTGTGAATCACGCATCTTCTTCAAGCTGCAGGAAACCAGGCTGACTCGAGATGAGGAACTGCTGAAGAAAGCCGTGCAGGACTTCGAACTGATGCAGGAAAAGTGAGGACACGCAAACATAAACACACTAAGCCGTGTTTTCATTTCCTCAATGGAAACAAAGCAAATTCAGTAACAGAGGATTACTTTCTGATTGGCCGCATCTCTTCACAGGTACATCGTTGTCCTCATGGCTCAGGCTAAGATCTACTGGAACCGCGAGAACTTCCAGATGGTGGAGAAGATTTTTCGCAAGTCGGTGGAGTACTGCAACGATAACGACACCTGGAAGCTGAACGTGGCTCACGTGCTCTTCATGCAGAACAAGTACAAGGAGGCTATCGGCTTCTACGAGCCCATCGTCAAGAAGCACTATGACAACGTGAGTGCTCAGGGCGGATGATTACCCGCCTGTTCAACTGTGGGCACCAAATGATGACAGTGTGACGTCAGCTGTAAAAGCTGACAGTGTGCCTTTTTGTCCAGGTGGAGCAGTGTAACATACAAGAGTGTCCCTGCAAGTGCAAACCATCGGTAAACAAAGAACAGACCAAACACCTGTTTCTCTGCAGTTTCTATCTGTGCATGAATCTGCTGTTTAGTGTGATGGTTTGCAGTGGTGTTTCTGATGTTGTACAACCTCAGATAGTCACATGGCTGAAGGTCTGGAGTGTTTAACAGAGCGCACTAACACTGGACAACAAAGAGGTTTTAGGATGTTTTCACACCTGTGGTTTTTAGTCTGTTCAATTCAAACTCTGGTTCGTTTTGGTTTGTGCAGGTGTGAACGCAGTAATTGCACCAGTGTTGAACAAAGAGCATTTTTTATGGTGTGAATGTGATCCATCCTCGATCTGAGCCAAAGCCAGCTGTACGTTGTAGGTTTTAGCTAAAATATTCTCCATGATCTGTGCGGTAGTGCAGAACCTTCTTCCTGTATTTACTTTTGTTTCTCTCACCTCAGACACATCTGGCCAATCAGTAGACTGAACATTCTCATGTGGTTTGTAGTGACACAAGGAAAGAAACCAAACCCTGAGAAAAAGCTACAAGTTTACCAACCCAGAGTAAACAGACTATAGCTGTGAAAACACCTGCAGGTTTCTTATATGTTCCAGTTCAGATTTAACCTCACATCAGTGGGATAATTTAAAGGTTCTGCTGCTGACTGAAAAGATTTCCTGTGAAATCATTGGTCAAGCCTCTGATCCATGTTGGTGTTTGCTTCTGTAGATCCTGAACGTGAGCGCAGTGGTCTTAGCCAACCTGTGTGTGTCCTACATCATGACGAGCCAAAACGAAGAGGTAACGTACAGACACGGTCACTGTCAGCCCAAAGGTGTTTCTATATGGTTTGTATCCAGAAGAAGACGTTTATAACACACATGAAAGTAATGAAACTCATGAAAAGCACTGCTTTAAAAAACAGAGACACACCAGATGAGACAAAAGAAGTCAACGAAATAAATTAATTACCCTATTCCAGTATAATATATATCATTGTAGAGAAAAACGATGAAGCAGCATTTATATCCTGATAGAAGATTAGATTAATGTCCACTGGGATGTCCTCCTAAAGAGACAGGGAGCACAGAGGATATCTGTTCAGACTCATGCACACATATGGTTATTGTACTCATTCTGTGCGATGGCCACTGTCACTGTTGATTCTTTGTTATGCAGTAAAGCCACAGCGGGCACTACTTTCTCTCCACACTGACGGTGACAGAATTAACAAAACGCCGGGCATGGAGACATCTTGAAATCCAGCAGTGCTGTTAGACTGCCTGAAAGTTCAGACAGCTAGCTCCAGCCTTTCCCCGCTGGGAGTCTGATCAGGTCCCTGTGTGATACTTTCATCCAAACTCGAGCTCCACTGTCCAGGATGGATGATTTTTTGGGGGGAGCCTTTGTTGTGTCTGAGAGTAGAAAGGAAAGGTGTGAGAGAGCAGCAAAGCCCAGAATCGAGCCTCTGCAATAACAGGACAGCATAACTTCTCTGACTGATGATCTCTGCGTGTCGTCCCGGTTTAACAGGCTGAAGAGCTGATGAGGAAGATCGAGAAAGAAGAGGAGCAGATCTCCTACGACGACCCCGACAAAAAGGTCTTTCACCTCTGCATCGTCAACCTGGTCATCGGGTGAGTCCCACACAGGAAGAGCTTTATGGGGACAGTCAGCAGCTATTTACTGTATTCTTCAGTTGTAATGAAAGGGAGTTACTATGCAATCAGAAATCAGTCCTAAGTATTTTATTTTGTATCATTTCTGATGTGAAGGTTAGAGAGGAAGAAGAAAAACGTCCTGCTTTCATCAGTAAGATCATCTCTGTGAAACCTTCTTTGCACACTTGTGTTTTGTCTTTCAGGACGCTGTACTGTGCAAAGGGAAACTACGACTTTGGCATCTCCCGTGTCATCAAGAGCCTGGAGCCTTACAACAAGAAGGTCAGCCATTTTTCCACCAATTGTATCAGTCAGATACAAAAGATCACAGAGACCTTCGGGTCACCGAGGCTGACCACAACGTCGTCTCCTACTGCCCAGTTTAATGCCCCTGATGTTTGACTGGCTCCCAGTGCCTGCAGCTAAGAAAAGAAAATCAAGCAGGTCACCCTGGTGATCCTCAAACTGTGAACAACACTCAGAAGATTTTGATTCCAGTACTTTTGTAATCACGATGATTCAACCGGGCGATCAGCTTTAGTGAGAGAAGAGGTGCCGACTGTGCTTCCACTCAGGAACACTTCAAGTCTCCCTCCGCAGTCCTGCTTCTTGGACTGCAGCTGATTGGCCATCTGTTGGGAGAGTGAGCCTCCAATCAGAGCCTGGTGTTGGTGTAAGTGGTGTAAGGGCCGGGGCTAAATGCTTAGCACCGACTGAACCGAGTAAATCAGTGCTGGATGGCATCGTTCTTACAGATGGATGAAAAAAAATGAAAACTCAAATCTTGTTTCTTTAATTTGAAGATTTTTCCTTTTCCCACACAAAAACGAGCAGGGCTCATACAGACCACACACTTCTGTGTCATTTAACACTGGAAGGACACACAGCATAACAATGCAAGCCTTTAATGGCTGTGATGGAAAAACACAGCCACAGTGAGGATGCTTGGTGGCCCAGGCCCAAACCAGCCCCACCAGCTGCAGGAGCAGCAGGAGGCACAGGAACAAACAAGCTTCATGGAGTGTTTTTAATATGCTTAACACCCGGACAGTCTTCTTCACTTCCATGTCCACGTTCATGCTTATAGATTAGAGACTCATACATGTAGTTTTAGATTAAGACTTAAAAAGAGAACCATGCACATGGACAGTTTTATCAAAAGCAGTCTGAACATTTCATCCTTCATGGTTTAGTTTTATTCATAAATCTGCAGTTTCTGTGCGATCTGACTCCACTTACAGCTCGTTGTACAGTCTGATGAAATCTAATCATGCTTTAGCTTAATTTAATATTAAATGCAGGTAATCCCACTTGCAGTGTTCGGACTTTGTGTCCAAGGATTAAAAAATATCTGAACAACAAATACAGTCCTGCAGGAGCACCTTCTCCAAGGCCGAGCTGCTCTTTTTGGGAACCTTTTGATCCCGTTTGGTCACAACATCAGCGGAGTCCAGCTGCAGCTGAGTCCACTAAAATCCAGCTGAGAACACACGCCATCATCCTGAGCCTGTCATCCCCTCCAACAATCACCATCCAGTCGCATCCACAGTGAAAGCAGCGAGCACGACAGGAATGTGAAACCTGGCGAGATGCACGCCCATCACACAAGCTTCTCGTCTCTGGTTACTTCAGATCATTTTATACAGGAAACCGTCCTGCGTGGTTAAACTGTCACGACGACAGCTTACAATGTTCACAAAACAAATCCTGCTGGCAGGCGCTGAGGCGTTCAGTCTGGTTATATGTTGTTAATCTGTTCTGTTTGTGTGTAGCTGGGGACGGACACATGGTTCTACGCCAAGCGCTGTTTCCTGTCCCTGCTGGAGAACATGTCCAAACACATGGTCATGCTGAGGGACACCGTGGTACAGGAGTGCATTCAGTTCCTGGAGCACTGCGAGGGTGAGCAGCCGTCACAAACACGCCTGCAGAAATATCTGGAGAACACACCGGTGTGACGACACGATTAATGGGATTACTCTGTTTCTTCAGATTAAAATGTTCGTGTACAGGTCCCAGTTTTTAGTGATTGTTAACATTTTGGTGATAGTGTAGTATCTTTAGTCTCTTCACACAGCTGGAAACCGCTGTAAGAGACACTAACCACAGCTCCAGTCCCCTTCAGCTCTGAGAAACCAACATGGTGGCAACTTAAACAGCTAATGTTGATGCTTAGAGTTATGATAAGTCCAGAAGTCAGAAACCAGTGAACACTGATGTGTGTTCGATTCAGCCACCTGCTGATATGAGCCTCTGAAGCTCATCCAAACACACTTTTTGAAGTTTTCTCCAGTGAATAATCAGGAAACGGATCAAACATTCAGGGTGTTACTGCCTGTTTCTGGTCCTCTGCGTCACAGATATTTAACTGCTGCACATTATTGTGATCGATCCATCACAGTCACGCTGGGACTTTAGGTTGTTTAGCTGGAGTGTAAAATTGTTTGCAGTACTGCGGTAAAAAGTCATTTTGTACTCCGAATGCTCTGACCAACTGTTTTCTTTGCTTTCCTGCAGTTTATGGGAAGGAGGTGCCGGCCATCATCGAGCAGCCTCTGGAGGAGGTCCGCATTCACATCGGCAAGAACACCGTCACCTACGAGGCTCGGCTTCTCAAGGCCCTGTTCTACGAGGTGATTGGCTGGAACAAGTGACATCACAAAGGTGTTACCGGCTGAGTTAGGACAGTTTAATAAGTTCTCGGTTTAAAGACGGTCAGCACACAGTGACGTGTTTCTGTGGAGCTTTCGTCCGGCTTCTCTGCGCTGGGACACTTCTGGCTGAAGGACGCGATCTCAGTGAGCAGATCTGATATAATCACATTGCTGCATTTATCATCACTATGAACACAACGGTTTGTAGAACAGACTTTAGTTTTATTGGTTATGTTTATTTCACTAACATAAACATACATGATGATAGTAATGTAAGTTTTTCTCCATGCATTCGGTTCATGCAGATCCTCTGCAGCCGCTGCTCCCGACTCTGTTTGTCGATTAAATACGTGTGAAAAACAATACGATTTAAAGTAAATAAAGATATTTTTAGAACTTAACTCAAGGTTTTCACCAGGAAAACAACCTGGGTGGATTCTGATGTTTTTTTCAAAGTAAATGTAAATATGTGTTTTAAATAGAGATGCTCCAATCAGCGTCTTTAGCTTCATATAAACTTTAAAAATCATCGAATCGTTAAAAATCAAAGATCGTCGAGTCTCTGACCACATCACGCTGTGTCCTCTGTGTTTTTCTCACTGTGGTGTTCACACAAAGGTAACCCCACCCCCCTCCAGGTCCAGCTGATCTCTTGTTCACTCATTGCAACTACAGATTTCTCCTAAAGAGGCTACATCAAAGAAAAAACACTGTTTTGTGGACACAGTGTCGCTGATGCACAGGGGTTAGAGTGGGATTGGGCTGGTGGGGGGTGGGTATATTTCCTGGGTCTTTACCGTACAATATAAAGCGCCTCGAGGTGACTCTTGTTGTGATTTGGCCCTATAAATTTATATATATATAAAACTGAATTGAATTAATTTATACTTTTGTATAAAAACTCTTAGCTGTGCATTTTCACTTCTCAAAGCTGAAAACATCGGGACCAGCTCTGCCCTCGTCACCATTACAGCTCAGTGTGGGACTTCAGCACTGTAACTTTCATACAGCACTTTCTGTGGACTCCTGTAGTGATGGCTAAATGCTAAAGTATTAAGATTCCAGTCTTATTGTGAGCATGAACTCTGACACGAATGGAAGGATTGAAGGCTCTGAGTGTGCATGCAGCCGTGTGTCACCGTCTGATTGGTTGAGGTGGGAGCAGCTGGAAACAAAGCCGAGCTGCAATAAAAATGAACTCTTAATATTAAAAGCTGCCGATCAAATGTAATCACTCATTAACTGGAGGTGGGCTTTCAGGATCGCCGTGGCCCACTTTAACCCCTGGAGCCAGAAAAAATCTCGTGATGACCTCGAAAAGTCTCATCCTCCAAAACGCTCATTTACATTTTACCACGGTCCTACTTATTGAGCACGCCATCCTTTTTTACGGTTGGAGCATCACTACTTTCAAACATCTTGTTTAGGTTTGATAATAATAATGATAAAAAAAATCAGCTTTATTGTTATAGTAACAAAACATGACTGAAAATAAAGCTTTAGCTTCCCAGCTTTGCATTAGGCGTTTTCATCATGTTAACACTACGTTCTTAAAGCGACATGTGGTGTGGAGAGTCTGCCTCGTTTCGCCGATGACGAAAGTCTCTACCTGATGATCTACAGTGTGTTTTTCTCGTGAGAACGCCCCTCAGGAGAGCGGCCTCTTTGTAATGTCCTGCTCTGTCAGGTAGTAGTTCAGGTATCCTCCCAGAGCACCGACCGCCACCGCCGTCATGTGACTGGAACAGCCGTCTGGCAGATGAAAGAAAACAGAGTTTATCAGACAATAACAAAACCCCCAAATCAGATGAAGTACTTAAGGTGGTAAAGACTGTTCATGCCAGCTTCACACATAACAAGAAATTATCCGCATATGAGCTCCAGCAGCTCTGCATCCAACTGCATTTTTAATGTGACCTCCGCTGGCTTCACAACACCAGCGTTCTTCAGATTTCCTCCAAACCTACAAAACGTAACAACAAGCTTCTTTAGCCACAGTGGCTGAAGATCAGCTGATGTGATTGTTACGATCTTGTCATGCTTCTGGGTCATTTGATGCAGCTCTGAGTTTATTGTGTTTTTGTGATTCCTGAGATGTTATGATTGAGTTTTCTATCATTCAGTATTGAGTTCAGTCCTTTCCATGTCACTGAGTTATTGGTCATTTCTGGTCTGTTAGGTCCCTTTTGTGCTCTTGTCGTCGTGTCTCCTGTGAGAATCTGTCTTGTCGTCTGTGTTTGTGTTTCGGTGTCTCGCTCCCTCACCCTCTGTGTATGTCTTAGTCGGGTCGTTGTTTTGCGTCTCCCTTCTGTGTCCACACGTTCCCCTCCTTGTGTTTCCACAGCCACTCATGTCTGTCCATGTGTGTTCTCCCCAGCCTGTCTTGTCTCTCTCTCCCTCCATGTCTCGCCTCTGTAACTGTTTGTGTCTCTCCAGTCTGTCTTGGTCCCGTGTGCTTTCCTTCCTCCCGGCTCCTGTATCATGCTGCGTGTTTTAGTCTGTGTCTTAGTGTGTTTCCTGTTTTATTTTGACAGTCTGCCATCCTGTGTTCAGTGTGTTTGCTTCCTCCCTGTCTCGTCACGCCTAATTCGTCCCAGCTGTGTTCCCCGTGTGTTTCTGCTTTTCCTAATCACCCTCGTGTGTGTGTGTGTGTGGGTGTGTGCGCATATATGTTGTGTCAGGTTCCTCTTGTCCCTTGTCCAGTTGTCCACGTCCAGGTTCTTAGTTTCATTTTTGTGATTCATGTTTTAGTCTACCTAGTTTAGTTCTATCTCCATTCGCCATTTGCTTCTGTTTTTGTGCAGCCTATGAATAAAGCAGCTCGTTTTTTGTTAAGCCTGCATTTGGGACCGCCTCATCATCACTTCCCACATTCTGCAGCTGCAGACCGTGACAGATCCTCAGCTGAGAAAAATGTAAACGGACCTGGAAGTATCTTCTCCCTCCTCTTCACTCTCCTGTGAGGCTGCAGCTGTTCCAGCAGCTCGTCTCCAATGATCTGTGAGATGATGCTCTCTGAGGAGAACAACAGAGAATGAACTGCCCAGAAATAAGTAATTTAATACAGATAAATACAGATAATTGATTCTTGTGTAATCCACATCAGTAATTAGGAGATTTTTTTTTGTTTAAAACTAATTTCTTTCAAAATACATCAAATGGGTTAATACATCAGTACGCGGGGCGATCGTGGCTTAAGAGTTGGGAGTTCGCCTTGTAATCGGTAGGTTGCTGGTTCGAGCCCCGGCTTGGACAGTCTCGGTCGTTGTGTCCTTGGGCAAGACACTTCACCCGTTGCCTACTGGTGGTGGTCAGAGGGCCCGGTGGCGCCAGTGTCCGGCAGCCTCGCCTCTGTCAGTGCGCCCCAGGGTGGCTGTGGCTACAATGTAGCTGCCATCACCTGTGTGTGAATGTGTGGATGACTGAATGTAGTGTGAAGCGCTTTGGGGTCCTTAGGGACTAGTAAAGCGCTATATAAATACAGGCCATTTACCATCAGTACAGTGCATATAAAAAGTCTGTTCCATGGCTGATTTTATTATTTATTGTATTCAAATAGATATTTAAATCTATTTATTAAATATCTTACTACAGGATCCAAAACATGAACATTGCAGGAATGCAATAATAATTGTGACGAAAAGCTCCCAAAAACCTCACATTTTCTGAACAGCAGATTTTTCACTGACATAACGTCAGACAGAGACCTGATCGCCACGTTACTTGTACGAATGCTCTTTGTGTTTTATTTGCCTAACACATAAAAAACCTGCATATTCTTGCATCAGTGGCCATCTTTGTTTCATTAAGACCTCTAAAATACACTGTTGCTATATTTCTGAGGTTTGACATATTTGGTATTTTTGACTAAGAACATATATTTCAGCAGGTTTGTGATACTCACTGTCTCTCCCAAAGCAGCCCACCTCCTCGTCCTGCAGCCTCAGAATGTGCTGCAGCCAGTCGGCTTTGTGGAAGTCGGAGAATCCAGACAATCCACAAATCAGGACTGCCAACATAGAGAGGAAACTCAGAAACTCATTTATTTACAGTTCAGACATTTTTACAGTTGACTGCTCATCCAAATTCCCCCCTGTACACTTTTTAATTTAATCTAAAACAAAAATTAAAAGTCTTAAAAAGTCCTAAAACAAGAAAAAATTTTCTTTGTTACATGAATTCTCTGAAGGCGAGCCTCAATGTCTCCTGAAAAGTCAGGACACAACATTAAAATCCCCAAATTCTACAACCAACACTCTGAATTTTGTTGAAATTCAGATTTTGTTGTGATCTCTTTTATTCCATAATTTTCTTTTATATTGAAATGGTGATGTAGTCATCAAAAGAAGTAAACGTTTTTAGTTTATCTCATTCAAAAGGACACATCAGTATTTGACAATATGGTTTTCCCATTCCAGTCAATCATTTTTATGAGTTTATCCTTACGTTTATCATAATTAGTGGTTTATATTTATAAATTTATTCATTTTTAAGCTTTTTTGCATGAAAATATTAAAATATGAGTAAGAACATTTTTTTTTCTTTTTGCTTCATACCGGAATAACACCGGATCAGGAAAATGTCGACACTCACTGTTTTCGATGAAGATGTCGACCATCTGTTCGCTCAGACCGTCTTTGATGTCCTGGTTGGTCTTCATCATGTTGGAGCAGAAGATCCTCTGGTAGTTCTGTTCAGTCATGTTTGCTCTGGATGCTCGTGTGTCACCTTTCAGCAGATTAGTGCAGCCTTTCTGAAATGGAAATACCAACGAGTCAAACTGTGAAGCTCATAAATTCCCCTCGTACTGAAATCATGGTCCTCGCTACTTTAATCAAATATTTCTAACAGTAGTTTTGCCACCTGCGGTGTTCCCCAAGGCTCTGTCTTTGGCTCTGTACTGGTCTCCCTTTAAGACAGCTTTTTATTGATTGGCTGCACATTATAAACAGAATGTCTTGGAGAGCAGGTGGGTGGGGCTTCTGTGCTCACAGCTTTTAGAGCAGCCTACAGCCTGAGCTTTTGGCTCAGTATTTTACTGGGAAAAACATACAAATGTAAAGACTCTTAATGAAAATTTTTAATGAAAATGTAATGAGTCTTACCAGGAAGTAAAATATTTAAAATTCAGCTTGGGCAGAGATAGGCAGCATTAATCTGGTATTTTGAGTTAAACCGGAGGTTCTGGGCCGATATGCAAACTCCACACAGGAGGCTCATATCTGGTTTCGAGCCTCTTTCTGTGAGGCTTCCTAAAATGAGGTTGTTTCTTTCTCCAAAATGCTTGTTAGTGTTACACACATCTGTGGGTCTTTGAGTGGTTTTACGTGTTGTTTCCATCTTTGTTTGCTCACCATTTTTCCAATCATGAAGTAGAGAAGCTGGTGGGACAGAGAGTAGTGTGGACACCCAAAACGAGTCATGGTGTCCCGGCAGGGCTTGGTGACGATGCACGGCGTCCCGTTCATCTTCCTGTCCGAACACACACACACGACTCGGGCAGGTGAGTGTCCTCACCTCAGCTAACAGGTATTGTTACCTTCATACATAATTACACAGTAGTGAAAAACAATCCAAACTACTGACAGTTACAATGAGATAAAGAACTTTCTTTTTAGTGTAAATCAGCATTTTTAAAGTTAAAAAACAGGCTGCGGCCGGTGAATAATTTGCACAGTCCAACAATCCAAATGTAGGGGAACCAGCACAGTAAAGAGCCTCTGAAGCCGGACTCTTTGGGGTGTTGGTGTGGGTTCCTACCAGGTTCCCAGCAGCAGGGTCAGACATTTGTCACTGAGCTGCTCGTCGTAACACTCAGTGGTCATGGTGGAGGGATAAACCAGGCTGGGATCTGTGGTGTACCATTCCTGAGGAATCAGCCAGAAACTCCACGACAACAGGGGCTCGAACTCTTGAGAGGAGGATGCAAGAAACGCACAAGTGTTAAAGTCTGCTAGGATCTCAACAAACCTCACCTGCACGTCTGTGCAACACCTGCCTGCTCATTTCTCTCAAGTCAGATATTTAAATTATATAATTAAACCTTAATCAATACGTCGTGATGATTAAAAACGTAATTAAATACAAATTTAACTCAAAAACAGCCCCTATAAGTTCAAACAGGCTTTAAATAAGCTCCTCCTTTTTCAGGAAACACCTACAGAAGACGTCACAGCAGTGAAACTGAAATTTGTCTCTCAGCTTTCTGACTGTTGTCTGTTCTCGGTGTTGTGTTCACTGACCTGTAGTGTTTCAGTGTCACTGTGAAGAACAGATTTGTAACATCACTGACACTTTTACCTTCATAAATATAAGGTGTGATAATAAAAAATACATATCTGAGACTGCCCTGAGCCTTTTCATGTGTTAATATCTGAAGATATTTCTTCCACATAAAAACCATAACAGCTCCAAGAATTAACCACTAAATGGATCAGCACTGTACCTGCAGACTTTTGGGACACGGAGTCTGAAAGTCTCACCTCTGTAGTATTTTGGGTCGTCCTGTTCCAGTGCAGCGTTCGCCTTCTCCACACTTTGGTCGAGACGTCTGACCAGAGCGACGGCGGTGGTTCTCTGAGCCCAGCTGACCGGGTCGGTGTGAGGCCACGTCCGGACCGCCTCCTTCAGCTCAGCTGAGACACAAAAACAGGAAGAAAGAGTTCATTCGTAAAATAAAAGGATGTAAGTAAACTTGCTTTATGGTTTTATTTCCTCTGCCTGTGTCCTCCTGTGGATGGACCCTCTTTCGGTTTACTTCCTGTTTTATTTTGAAAGGTAGGCCCTTAGTTGGTTTTCTGATCTGTTACTTTCTTCCTTTGTTCTTTTTCATGTCCTTGCTTTTGTCTTTGTGTTTTCCCTCTTTTGGCTTACTTCCTGTTTTATTTCAAAGGTGAGCTCTTCAGTGTTTTTACTTCAGCCTCAGTCACACAGACCTGCGGACCAGCCAGCAGCCTTCTGGTCTCGATATTACCTGACCGGCTGGCTCTAGGTGAAGTCAGCTGCATATGCAAAGAGGTCAGCTGCACAGAAAGCCTCTGTGTGACTGCTTTGGTTGCCAACAGGTTTGCAGGTGTATCTCCTGAGTGGCATCATGTCTGTCTCTCTAAATCTGGAGCAGGCTGAGTTTGTAAATGCCGACTTACATCCACCGAGGTCTTCAAGGTCAGCTTCATGAATGATTGGTAGAAAATTGACAAAAAGCCTTATAACTTAGAAACTGTGATTCTCACAAGGCTGCTGTGTATTGTCAACATACAGAAAATATAAAGGTTCAAATTACGTCCCTTCACGGACACGGTCTGTGTCTAAAATGAGAAAAGCAGGCAGATGGTGAATACTGAGCTGTTACTTTCTGCTGTTTTCTGTTTCATAAACAGCAGAGCAGCTGCTGCACATCTGCATTTATGAGGAAAGATAATAAAGCATGAAGATGATCTCTGCTGGGCAAACACGGCCTGACATTAAAGTCAGTTCGTTTTCCTGGTGAGAAAACAAACCACAGCAGAAACTATTTAGCCAAATGTGGCGGCGCAGCTTCAGTCAGTGTTGTGTCATTTAGTGAACTGTAATCTGCATCTTTTTAACAATGTTACACATGGAAGACCCTGACTCGTCTGCACACACTTGCGGACTGTTCGTCGAGCGGTGGTGAGACCTGAAAACAGTGTGACGCAAAACAAAGACTGTTTGTCTTCAAAGTTGCTGAAACCAACAAGATTTAAATGTTTGTCACGGTGGAGCGGAGTAAAAGATCAGAGCCACCACTCAGGCCGTCACACGCTTCCTTTTTATTTGTCCTTACAGCATCAAACGTTCACGTTAAAAACATGTAACGTGACCTCCTGTGAGCGACTGTACAGTTTAATGCTGCACAGACTGCTGCCCCTCAGCAGGCATCTAGAAGCTGCTGGCCAATCAGAATATTAAATGCCGTGCAGAAAATACTGGCCATCATTTTATCCTCTGTGCTCTGAATACACATGATCCCACTTTAGCTCTTTAAGAAGCTACGGCCACAAAATCAACGTTTTTTGGGGGGGATACACTTTTTATTCTGGAAATGTTCATCATTTGTTTTTGGACAGAAGGGGTTAAAACAATAGATTTACTTTATTTTTAGATTACTTTGGGGTTTCCATTGTCATAAAATCAAATGTCAGAGCAGTAGCTGTGCTGGCAGCGCTGTACTTTACTGTATTTTACTATAAAATAAAACAGATCAGTGAAAAGTCTGAGAGTGAAGCAGAAAATGTGTCACTTTCAGGCACTGCGAGACAAAAACCTCTGAGTCGACACTGAGGTTAAAAGCATTTCACTTTAAAAGCTTTCGCATATTTGTATAACCTGTTCGATCTGCACCTGCATCTCAAATCAGTGAGTTTCACCAAAACAAGCAAACCATAAACAGCTGTTATTCTCCAGATGTTTTCCTGCAGCTGGTAAACAGTCCTACCCTGCAGTATGACGAACCCCACCACTCCGTCCAGGTTGATGTGCTCATGCTGCCGCTCCAGGAAGGACACTCCGCGGGAGAGGCTGCTCAGGATGTCATCGATCACCTCCGCCCGAGAGCCGCACACTGCGGCAAACAGAGCCAGCGCTGCGGCCAGCCGGAGCACCGAAACCCGCATCATCCGGTCTGAGGTCCGGGACAGCTTCAGTCTAGCAGGGAGACCGAGAGAGGCGGAGGAGGACAGCCTGTCTCCGCTTTAACGCGGGGGGAGGAAAGTCAAGGGCTCAGCATGGGGGGAGGAAATATCCATGACGTCAGAGGGGCTCACGAAATGACATTTTATTTTTACTGCGTTTAATTTGAATTAATATTAGAATAAAATAATACACCAAGAAATGCTCACCTTACCTCCTAAGAGGATTTAAAGTGATGTGCAGTGAAACCATTTACACGTTTATTTAACCGAAACCAAAAAACAAAATTACATTTTAAAAAAGTCAGTGGCCTGAAAGCTGCAACGCATGGAGGACAAAAGCTGTTCAAAAAGTGGAAAATGTACACAGAATTAATATCATATTTCCTCGCAGTTTCCCACAGTGAGGTGAGGTTTATGTATGCGGGATTTTCCAGTGGGGCGGCGCAGGGAGCCAGAATATTTGACCACAAAAGGTTAGTATAGAAGATCAGTCTGGTTTTAAAATTATTTACAAGCGGAAGTAACAATAAGTAAATTTCTCAATAATTTGCTTACAATGTAAATGATTTTGTAAATACAACGAACAAAGAAAAATTAGAAATCTGAAGGCAGTTTTCTTATTTCAGTAATGTTGAATTTTTTGGTTCTTTTGTTTCTGTTTGTTTGTTTTTGTTTATGTGTGCGGGGCATTTCCAGGATAATAAGTCAGACTATTTCATCAGAAAAATACAGTGTGGACAGCACGAGTACAATTTTCAGGCTCATTTACAAATTGATGAATATGTATATGTTATTATTTAGATTTTTTTAAACAATTTTGTTTATAGTATATTAATGCATAAATTTTATGAATATATTTTCTGGAAGGCACTGGAAAACATATATTACATATCAATGTCACGCATTCTTATACGTGTATATGTGTATAATATAATTTCCTCAGGGATTAAGAAAGTATTGCACTTACTGCTCTTGCACTTCTGATTAGATGCAAACTGTATTTCGTTACACTGTATTTATACATGTGTAATGACAGTAAAGTATAATCCTGAATCCTATTTTGATTCTGATGTGTATATATTATATCCTCCTGTTTCTAAATGAAGAATAGAACCGAACAAATCCTAAAGAGAGATTGGTTAATACAAAGTAGATTTTCACATTTGAAAAGCACAAAACTTCAGAACAAATGTTTAATTGTGTAAATATATTCACAAAAATCTGCTCAGTCAAACTTTTTATTCTTTGTTCCAAAATGTTTGTGAAAATATGTTTCTGAGATTTTTCTTTTTTAAAAAACAAAATGTAAATGTGCTACCAAAGCCCTACTTTTTCATTTTTTCTTTGTGGGTTTTTTAATATAATCTTTTGATAACAATAGAAGTTAACACACGCTTTGACGGCTGAGACTGAAAGTTCCTGGTTTGCACATGAACGCGTCACGATACGATGCGCGGTTCCTTTAAACATCAAGCCCCGCCCATTTGTGATGAGCCGCGTCATCACAAATCTCAAACAAACATGGCGCCGCGCTGCTCCTGCACGGCTCTGCTGGCGGTTTCCCTGACGGTTTTGGCGCTTTTAGCGGGACTTTTGGCGCCACACTCGGCTGTGAGGTGGCCCGCGGTGTCTCTGGCGGTCGCTGCTGCGCTGCTGCCGCTGTGGGGCCGCAGCCTACGGCGGCGGGACGACGGGACCTCCCGGCGGGTCTGCGTGCTGGTGCTGGGGGACATCGGGCGCAGTCCTCGGATGCAGTATCACGCTTTATCCCTGAGTAAACACGGGTACCATGTGACCTTCGTGGGGTTTTCAGGTGAGACTGAAGCTTCCTGTTACACATTCATTCACCTGTTTCCCACCTGCCGCTGGGATCAAACAGTCAGCTTCTTTCACTTCTCGTACCGACATGTTCAGGTAGGTACCGATACCAGCGTATGAGGACAGAGAGACAGTGGGGAGGTGGGTTTAAGGTGGAGGTGAGACTACATCAGGGATCGACCCTGAGCCCACTCTGGTCAGCAGACAGATGGGGGTAGGCAGGAGTCCCTGTGGCGACACTGTGATTTGTAGTGTGAGTAGTGAGCAGGTGGAGGTGTGATCTGTCGAGAAGAAGAATGAAAATTGGTACAATCCAGACAGAATAGACGTGAGTGAGTGAGAGAGACACGTTGACAGGTGGACATGTGAGGAGAGAAGCCAGTGCAGGTGGATGAGTTTAAATACCTGGGGTCAATCATCCATACAGTGCACAAGAGGAGGTGAAGAAGAACGTGCAGGCAGGGCGGCGTGGGTGGAGACAAGGATTGGAAATGAGTCCATCAGAGGGACATCTCAGAGTCAGAGAGGCTGAGGTGTGCAGAGGAGGGAGGGTAGATATACTGGATATACACAGGAGGAGAAGAGGACGACCTCTGAGGATATTTCTGGATGTAGTGAAGGAGGGCTGGAGTGACAGAGGAGGTCCATACCTCCTAATGTTTGGAGGTTTGGGGGAAACAAACACTGAAGCGTCTACATCCTGTTGGAGCTGTATAGTGAGGTGGTTCACTGTGCGAGTTTATTTGTTCCTGAAACATGCGCTGCAACCTCTACACCTCCATCAATACTGCAGCGCTCTGCCTGTTGGATTTATAGGGAGTGGTATTTTAAAGAAGCAGCGTTTACATGTCGTTACTCGTAAAAGTTCCAAATCAAAAATCTAAAGAAAAGAATATTTGATCCAAGTATAAAACTGGTGCTTTCAGCAGGTTGAGATAAATCAAACTTTAGATAAAGAAAAAGACGTGACTGTAAAGTATATGCAGAAAAAAAGTGACCACAGACAGAAAACACCTCAAAGCAGGTCGCTGTAAGTGATCCGAGATGGAGCCGATCCTCTTTGTAAGGGTGGTGTTTTAAAGAAGTAATATCATGTACTCTATTAAAATTACTAAAACGTAAACTTGGTGCAGCACATCCAGGTTAACTGAGCCGGGTTCATTTCAGCTGTGCGTTATAAACATGACCTGATAGAAAATAAAAACCTTTTGTTTCTACAGCACTGAAAACCAAAAGAGTTTCAGACAAACAGTCGGTCGTTCTGAGAAACAAAAAACGAAATGTGAGCTTTGGACTAAAAACAATCAGGAAGTCATCGTGCCTGAAAACTTCCCGTGTCGGCTGTGAAAGTGAAGAATTTGTGCTGTGATTGTTTTTCAGAAACCAAACCTCATCAAGATGTGCTGAGCGAGGAGAAAATCACCATAGTGCCCATCGCAGAGCTGAAAGGTGTCCGAGGTACATTTACATCTGCGCTTAAACAACAAACAGGATGTGATTCTTTACTGTTTGTTTTTTAATGAACCCGTTTCCTGTTTCGCAGTCGGACCGAAAGTGGTCTCGTATGTGACGAAGGTGACGGTTCAGTCCCTGCAGCTGCTCCGTGTCCTGCTGACGATGGAGCTGCAGGCGCATGTTCTGATGCAGGTGTGTTACCTGTGACTCTCACAGGGGGAACAGTAACTCACGTGCAGACGTAAACATCACACTGGTTCATCCATTCTTCTTTTTTATTTGTTTAAATTAAGACAAAAATCCTCATTTTGACTCAAAAACGTTTATTTTGAGAGTTAAATGAACTCTGGAGGAACGATAAAGAACTCTGCTATAAATACTTCACTCTGTTAACATCAACGACTGCCTTTGTTTCCCAGAATCCTCCTGGGCTGCCCAGCATCGCAGTGACCTGGTTCGTGTGTTTGCTGCGTGGCAGCAGATTCATCATCGACTGGCACAACTACGGCTACACCATCATGGCGCTGAGCCACGGCCCGGCGCACCCCATAGTCCGACTGGCAAAGTGGTGAGTACCGCTGAGAGGCTGAAGGTGGCGCTCTGCGGTGTCCTGATCCTCAGGACTGTGATAAAAATACTTAATGTTAAATCCTGATGCGAGGTGTTTCTGTCTCTGTCGTCTCTGACGGGCGCTTTCGTTCTCGTCTTTCAGGTACGAGCGCTTCTTTGGCCCTCTGGCGTCTCACAACTTGTGCGTCACCAACGCCATGAAGGACGATTTGCAGAAAAACTGGGGCATCAAGTATGACTTCCTCTTTCTATTATCTGCGTGGCTGTTTTTCATTCACTGACGAATGCTCGTGGCAGAAAATCTGAGAGATGTTTGAAATTGAAGATTCTCACAACACACCAATAAAAACATGCAGACGTGTCACTTTACAGTGAAGTTGATGAAGGAAAGAAAGACTGAAACAAAGGTCAGATGTCTCACTAGCGGCCTCTGGAGGCCGTGATGTGTATGACACCTGAGGAGACACTGAAGGAGCAGAGTTAAAAGGAGACGCTGCTCCAGGTCTGCGGACGATGTGTTCACATAACTCGTACCTGCTCGAAGTCTCGGCTCTGCTGTGGACGGTCCCGTGATCCGTCCTCTGTGAGGCTCCTGATGTTCACGTTTGTTTCACTGCAGGGCCGAGTTTTTAATGCAGTTAATAAAAACCAGTAAACTAACCGCAGTGACTCTGTTCTCACTCTGGATCGCAGCGCGACATTTTACTGTTTGACGTTTGCAGGGCGACGACTCTGTACGACCGGCCGGCCTCCATCTTCAGAGAGACTCCGCTGAAGCTGCAGCACGAGCTCTTCGTGAGGCTCGCCGCCGTTTATCCTCAGTTCAGACACGCGGGGTGAGTGATGACGCCGTTGGGGGGCAGTTCCTGTGAAACACTGTTGATCGCCCACAAAACAGGAAGTTTGTGTAATGTGTGCAATCGTAGAGCTGCAGAGTTTTACTGTCGGCTTTTCCTCGGTTGTTCAGTTTATTGTTATAGAAAAAAACACATCAGCTCTGTGTGCTCACCTACTCTCTCAGGTCTGAGGCGGAGAGGACCATCTTCTCAGTTCGTGACCCCGCTGACGGCACCGTGACCCTGAGGGCGGAGCGACCAGCGCTGCTGCTCAGCAGCACCAGCTGGACAGGTCTGAGGAAGAGACGCTTCCCCCCATTTAAGAACGAAAACCACGGCGAGCTTTTGGTGTTTTCTGATTGCAAACCGATTTTTTGTGTTGCGTTTGCTGTTCGAACATTTCCGCTGAAGTCGTTCATCTCAGGAGTTCAAAAAGTCTTGTTTTTAATTTCACAAGCTTTTACTTTCCTTCAGCGGCTCACACACAGGCAGCTTCACTGCAGGGTTTTTAATCACATTTCAATGATCAGGAAGAAACAGAAACAAAACAGAAGTTACTGCTTGGAGGTCGTGACCTCCGCTTCAGCGGCGTCCTCGGCCTGTTCAGGATTTACAGGAAAGGATTTTGGGAGCGACGGTTTCGCTTTAAGTCCTGCTGTGAATCTCGGTAGAGATCGTGATCTCAGTGCCAAAATAAATAAAGTCTTTTCGTGGAAAAGGGGAATTAAACTCCCGGTGTTCCTCATCATCGACGTAAACACGATGCGGGAATGTCGGGATGTGCGAGGACGCTCACTGAAGGTTTCTGGCTGCAGCTTCTATTGTAAACAGAATGTAAAATTTTCCAAATTCAGCCAGTTTCACTTTATTTTGCACCTTGTGTTTCATCTCTGGAAACACTGAATCACTGATTCGGGACATTTTTTCTCTGCAGAGGACGAAGATTTCTCCATCCTGCTGACGGCCCTCGAAGGTGCGACCTGCTGTTCCAGAAACGAACGTTTAAATAATCCATGAAACGTGTTTCCTCACCTGTCGCCTGTTTGTTCCCACCAGAGTACGAAGGTTTCATTAGGGGAGGAGCTTCCTTACCACCTTTACTCTGCGTGATCACAGGTAGTCCAGCTCGCTGCTTACAGATTAGAAGATTTTCCTTTATTCAGAACATGTTTCCACTCTGTGTGTTTTTGTGCGTTTGTGCAGGTAAGGGTCCTCAGAAGGAACACTACATGAAGCTCATCGACTCCCTGCACCTGGAGCACGTGGAGATCTGCACCCCCTGGCTGGAGGCAGAAGATTACCCTCTGCTTTTAGGTATTTTAGTATTTATTTTGGTCTGTTCGACCAGTTCAGTCTCACTCGTGTTTGCGCACAAAGGTTCCTGCAGGTCGTTGGAGGAGTTTCCTTCTCTGTTGTCCAGGCTCAGCAGACCTGGGTGTTTGTCTCCACAAGTCGTCCAGCGGTCTGGATCTCCCCATGAAGGTGGTGGACATGTTCGGCTGCTGCCTCCCCGTCTGCGCCGTCCACTTCAACTGGTGAGCCGACCTCTTAACCTGCATTCTTTCTAGTGGCCAGGAGGGGGCGACTCCACTGGTTGCAAAGTAAAATGCTCATCAGTGACCTCTGTAAATACTTCCCTCTCTGTGTTGATGTCCACCTATTTAAACTGGAGCTGAGAATGTGCTTCCAGTAAGCTCATGAACATGAATTAAACCTGACTCGGCTGTATTTTTATTCCTAGCTTGGATGAGCTGGTGAAGCACGAGGAGAACGGGCTGATCTTCAAAGACTCTGCAGAGCTCGCCGAGCAGCTGAAGGTGAGAGATGCCTGTAAACCAGTCACATGATCAGGAGAAAGATTCGGGCAGACCCTGATATGGACTCTAATATCTACCAACATTTATTCTTCTCTGAAAATACCGTACAACACGATTTAAGCATAGACTGTATATAAAAGATGGTTTTGTGGGTTCTGAAGCCTGAGTGGGAGTGAAGTGGCCACATCTGTGATGAGAGGGTGACACAGGCGGCTGTAGCAGCACCTCAGCTAACTGAAGTCCCTGAACTGGAACTCTGGACCGTGTTTGTGCTGTTGGAGCTTTTTTAATAACATCATGTGACCAAAAACATGGCTGCTGTGAGGTGACTGTACTAACAGACTGTCCAAGAAGCTGGAGCCACAGTTTTGGGGGTGAAATTCTAGGATTTTAATTGGATGTTACAGATAAATAACAGTTAATAGCTAATTATTTATATAGCATGGTAGCTAGCTAGCGTTAGCTGATACCTTAGCACTCCACCTTCTTTCTTCTATTCTCAAAAAAACAAACAGGGTGATCGACACGCTCGTTTGACTTCTTTCAAATAATGCTGAACGTTTATGATTCCAGACTCTCCTGTCAGACTTTCCCAGTTCAGACGGCAAACTGGGAACCTTCAGGAGGAACCTCCGCTCCAGCAGGGGGCAGCGCTGGGATGACAGCTGGGACCAGAACGTCCTGCCTCTAATCACTGCTCCGAGATAACCTTGGCTCTATTTAGAGAGCTAGACAGCGCTGCAGTTTTATAACCATTTTTTTTATTCATGAAAGTCTCGCTTTGTAAGCCCTAATGGGCACGTGCAGTAGACATCACCATGGAAACAAGACTTTTTTTCCTTTTGTGCCTGGTGAGCACTTCATGGAATAAAGTAGGCCCAGCCTTTGAGTCCAGTATCCAGTGAATGCCTGGATGAGATGAGCACCAGTTACAGCAGAGTGAGAGC